TCTGTTGGAGGTGACTTGTATTTTTCCTCAATAACAGTATTATTAGCTACCTTATTATTGTATCCTCTCAGTAGTTGACTTTGGCTGTTTCCTTTTTTATTTTGCAAATGATAAGCAAGTATATCATTTCGCAGTTTTCGTGGTAATAATTCATCATACAAGACAAATTTCTCAAATAACTCTTCATAACTAATGTCAAGAAATCTTACATGAGGTATGCAATCAGTTACCAAACCTTTGATAGTGTTAATGTCATTAGCTGACCAATTGTTTGGATCGTTTGTAAGTCCAGGAACTTGCCCAATGGCCCATTCTATAACTGACATCCAAATATCGCCTTCTTTCATATTAAGATCATCATTCTGGAGAAGGTTAATCAAAGTTTCCTTTTGTAAGCATAAAAGATTGTTGGATTTAAAGATAATCTCTGGATGTGAAGCCATGGTTTTATTGCAATAGTCTAGAAGTTTGGTTAATCTGGCCGTGGAGAGAGCGAACTTCTGAACCGTGAGAATATTTTCCTGAATCAACTCCTCGTTTCCCGTAATCAGGATATCTTCAACTGCAGTAATAAGTTCATCCAGCTCAAACTTGACAGCACCTTTTAAAAGGTTAATCCAGTCTATATCCTTGCATGATTCATAAGATACCTTCCCAGTATAACTAAACCTAACATATATGTAAAAAGATTATTGATAAATCCTACATAACATTAAACTTCATACGCTTTGTTTTTACCTAAGCAAAACTTCAAAAATGTCAGGCATCATATCTTCAAATGTCATAGCTGTTTTCTGAATCTCTTTGGACGCTTCCGTATCTCCGGTTAAGCTATCCGCAAAATATTTGCTTCTTGTACATAAGACCAATGAATGAACGAAGAATATTTTGTTGTTTGACTCCTTTCCAACTTGGATTGAGAGATCTGCATAATTTCCACTTTCGTAGAGTTTCCAGTAATCAGATGAAAGGCTTGAAGAACAATCAATTATATTATCCATTTCGGAGAAAGTGATAAGTAAAGCCCCAAATGTAAATGATCAAGTGATTTCTGCGGTTACTTAGAGTAGTACAGAGTACCTCTGCACCTCTCAGATTTGGTGGACAGTTGATCGCAAATACAACGTTATCGAAAAGTCAATACAACGCAACAATCTTTGCCGGCCAGACTTACTCTCTAAACGATACATGAATTGTTTGCGTTTGTCGATGGTCTATGTAATAAATGATTGACGCTGAAAGTTCAGCTTTTGCTCATCAAGCTTTTTGCTCATGTAAAATGTTCAAACAGAAACTCTTTTTCTCAAACCAATATCTAACTATCGATACAACCTCCTAATTATAATGCTGTAATGATAATAATCATGATCGACGATCGATGACTTTTTACATAAATTTTCGTTAGCTTGCGCAGCGATATTAATCAAACACGCTTAAAGTCTCTTCAGCATTTATTTGCAAACTAGAAATAATATCTTTGGGGGGGGCTGCGCCCCCTCGTGTTTATTTTATGTGAGACTGGAAGATTTATAATTTAGTTCTTTGGCCTTTACCATAGTATTTAAATGGTGCTCTTTTTCTTTGAAATAGGAATCACCCGTTCGTATAAATGTTGGTAATGGTATCGACTTATTTTCATCAATGATTATTTGATTTGTGTACTGACTTTGGCGCAATAATTGTACGGCAAAATGTTTAGAAGCTGCATCAACGATGTATACGTGCAGTGGTTTGAAGTTTCCAATTGCATATAAGACCACATTGTCCAGACTGGATGTAGTCTAAACCGAGAATTATATTCCATTAGTCTAGCTTTTATGTATTTCCCATATGTTAACACATTGTCATTATGAGTAGAAGACTAATTAACGATTATACGAATCATAATTGTATTAACCACCACGCATATGACTTACTATGATAACCACTTGCCTAGACGAATATTTCCGACTTACGTATTCTTTCCAACGAGTGTAGAGTTATTAACATTTGCTTGGCATAAAGTTATACCCTTTTTAGTTCAGTCGAGCATAACCTAGTTGTAACAGAATATAAAATCATAACATTGTCATAGGCTAACAATATCCCTCAGTGAATTACCAAGCAATAATAATTGTGAGCGCTCTCGACAAGTAATGAGGAAAGTTGACAGTCAATATCCCACAAAAGAAATTTTCATTTACCCAACGTGAGTCGTACCCAGGTAAAACATTATCCAATCCATACTCAGAGGTTGAGATAAACTCCGGTAAATAATGAATGTTTTGTTGTATCCAACCGTACCATAATACGCTCTTCTAGAAATAATTAACTCTCTTTCACTTAACACCATCGGTATTAGCCTCTTCATGTTGGTTAAGAAAGTTACTAAATATTTGCCACGAAGGAACACATAGTGAGACCACTACGTTGCGAGCCGACGGAAAGACCCGCTTTGCTTATGATACAACTAAAACTTTCGACACAACATCTTTAACCACTTGTTCGTAGTCTTCTTAGCAAACAGTGTCGCTTCGCATTGAACATAATCCTTAGTGAGTAACATCTGTGCTCAGCAAACGGGATTATAAACTTCTTCACTCACTGGCGTCCCGAGAGGCTTTGAGAATTGCATTTATTATCCTTTCGTTCGAACAAATATCGGATCGCTTGCATAAGCTAACAAAGTTTTGTGACAAAAGTCTAACGATGTTTCATTATGCATTAAATCTGTATATTATCGTCGCAGAATTGATCATTTTTATTTAACATCTATTTGAGAACGAGCATGAAGCTGACAGCTCAGGATAAAGATAGCTTTCATAAGTTCAAGTGAAAGTTCAGTAGCACAAAGTCACCTGAATATTGGCATTTACTGCACCCTACTAATCGAATTCTTGTATGGAGTTCTGTTGATTACATAAATATTGTTCTTGAATTGAGGAGTTTTATTAGTATTCCTCATATTTGTTTTAATTTAGCAGATGAAGGTTCATATTGTGTGTTTAACATGATGTAGGTCCTTACTACCGTTACGCTTTATTGGTACGTATATAATTAATGCGTACTATAAACAAAGGGGAACCCACATAGTTTATTCAAATTTCTAAATAATAAGACTCATATATCTATGGGACGATTATCGTTTGAAAAGCGTAAACATGAAGATTCGAGTAACTTCATATTGTATGCTGTATAGTTGACTGCAGTTTGAATCGATGCAGATTTGTGACGTTCATTCAAACAATATATACTATTTGTTGTACATTCCCAATTTGGAAATAGTTATAGAATATTTCTGGCTAATAACCAAATCGCTGAAAAATATAGTCGTACAAACATCAAGACGCAGAGCTGGATTATGTCAATGAGCGAAAAGTAAAATTCCAAGGCATTTGTTCCAATGCATTTTTTTTTCTAGCCGAGAAAAAAAGGATTAATACTGCGACGAAACATGTTTAGCGTTAGCGCCCGATTTAATTTTAATCTATCTTCAGATCGTTCACATGTGAATTGCGTATCATGCCAGTGTTAAGCGTTACACTCGAAAATTAAGCTATTAAATTCTTGCTTTACAGTTTGAGTGACAGGAAATTTGCACACAATCTGCGTTATAACGTCATATATGCAATTGCTCGGTGCTCCATATCGATGAACTTTATCCTGGTTGAGGAGTATGATAAATATATGATAAGCAATATCATAATCAGCAATTTTTGATCATCTTGATTGTTAAACATAGTCAGAGTATAACGTTCATTATATCAGCTCGATTACTGTTAACAAAGACTTATAATAATTGAAAGATACAACGATAATACGTCTGTTGTACCTCAGTTGGGGACCTGTGTCAGTTCTGGGCTGGGTGTCTGTGGTTCCGAACTGAGACAGGTCCCTAACTCAGACACAACTTGCTTCGTCTTCTCAGTGGAGTACAGATTTGATGCTCTAATATTAATAAAGACTATTTTCATTATGATAGTAGTAGTAGATTTGGTTCTTGCATAAATGGCACACATTGGTTTACATGTCAATTCACAACGGTGTTTGCACTTATAATCTCGGTAGTCATGAGGTGCAACGAACGCAATTATCCGAGATTTGCGTGTCTGCGCAATTTGATTACATCCAATTATTCAATTATTTCAAAGTACACAAATTTGATTGGGGGAGTGGCAATTTCTTATCTAGCATTTCAGTCATTAGTTACTAAACAGTGACTGACAACAACAACCCTTTCTAGATTTATATTTAAGCAAACGCATTTTGAATCAAACGGTCCAGATAAAGCAACAAATCAGAAGAGCTGAACATATTACACTGCATCTAAATATATTTCTAGTTTTATAGATAGCGTGAACAACGTTACATTTGCAGTTCAAAGAAAGTTGTTTTATTGTACAATAAAACTCGGAATTTTATCCGGTGAGTATAAAAAATAAGGGATTATACTAATATAATTCTATATAAATATTACACCAAATCGCCGTTGGTACTTTACGAAGCATTTTGTCACGTCCCTACTAAACATGGTAATAATCAAAGATTTGGAAGTACCTATTGTCTATCGAAAAACATATATAATAATAAGCCGAGCTTCTCAAGATCATACCGAAAAAAAAAAAAAAACCTACACAAAAAAAAAAAGTATATAAATAAAAACAAACTCCAACGAAAGACTTTTTGATAAATCACTATTAATGTCAACCATCGCACCCATTCTGATAAGCCAAAATTTTTACAACACTTTGTTTATAACTACTATGCCTACTTTTCTAACACTTTTATTTTATTATGCTGATACTCTTACTTCTTATGAATGTAATCTTTTACTTAATCCACCTTATATACTCAGTATTTCCCCTGACTCTCTTACTAATCCGAGACGTGGGCATGGCAGAAACCGAAACTTAAAGCCTCCCCGACCGTCCAATCCTTGGATCATTTTTCGTGCGAATTTCGCAAACTGGTTAAGACGTCAATACCCTGGAAATTCGTACAGTATTCAAGATGTGTCCAAGATGGCTTCGGAAGATTGGCAAAATCAGCCGATTTTAGTCAAGCAGTACTTCAACACTCTTGCTAAATTGGCTCTGCGGCGGCATAAAGAAACTTATTCTGACTACGTATACAGGCCAAGGCCAAAACAACATAAAAAAAAGAATTGGCCATTTATAGAGGTGAATAAAAATAGATTTACTGAACAAGAAAGGGCCGATAGACAATTGAATGGCTCCGCTCAAATAGATAAACAGCTCCAAGTTTTAGACGACCATGTTCCATCAAGTGACCGTGTTCAACAAACCGACGAATATGCTTTACTAAATGGCTATGTTGAGCAGATTAAATATGGAAATTTTCAACTACATGCTGGTGATTTTGTTCAACTGAACGGTAACAAATCAGATGACTATTACTATAGTCAACCGAACGAAAATAATCAACTGAATGGATATAATAATAATCACGCTGAAGTATCGGCTTTATCGGTTGACGGTCAAAGATGCGAATACACTCTATCAAACGAGCATTATGAGCCAGTTTCATCTATTGATAAGCAACAGCACGTCTCACTGGATGAGATCAGTGTGGCCATTAATGGATTTGACATAACGGATAACGGATACTATGTTTATCCCAATGACGGAATCAACAACATTTTTACAAGCAGTACCGTAACTAACAATATGTATAGTTCTGGTCGTTCTCTGTGCAGTAATAGTGATACGTTAACCGCCCGCTTTGGTCAACATTTTTCAAAAGAAAGTGGCGCAAATTTTCTTGAAGAGCCATTTCATACGAGCGAGCAGTCAGTCAGCTTGCTATCAATTCCGAATGAATAATATGTTTGTCTTCTGTTCTAATAACAGCCGGACGGGAAAACTTTCTTCAAGCTTGTTCATAACGCCTATTGTGGACAAGTTCGATAGTTTTGTCATAAGATTTACTAATGTAAGATGTAGACTATATAGTTAGTATCGTGATATATAGAATATACAAGATATATAATAAATTAATATGTGTGTTGGGAAAAAATTAATATCGTGGGGGCGTACAGTAACTGTGGGATTGAAAAAACAGAATGTTTACACACTTCTTTTACAAGTACCGAAGCATTGAATGGCAATGTTACATGTCGCAAAACGTAGGGATAGCCGGAAATTATGCTGGAACGTTTATGTTGTATTGCTCTTTGCGCAGTAAAATAAATAATGTACTGTGCGTTTATATAACAAATGATGAGCCAATCGGAATAAGATATCAACATTCTCACAGTGATAGACAACACGACAAACAGATTCTCACCAACCCGTGTGATATAAATTCTCCCCGATCTGCAAGATTGAACACCAATAAAAAATGCATCAGAATTAGTTCTAATAAACATACAGACAAGCATATTGTATTGAATTTGTATAAAGCCCGGTTTTACTTCGTCTAATCATTGTTTTCTGAGCCGAGTAACATAAATAATTAAACCTGTATTGCAAAGTTTTTCGACAACTTCTTTGAATAGACTATGCGTAAGTCATAACATACTGTATATTGAATACATTACAATGTTGCTAATATCAAAATTTCCTTGTCTTCATTATAATATAACGAATTAAAAATCTTGGATGTCTGTTAAACTTGTAACTATACAAAAGAATTCTGCTTTCGGCGTTTGACGTCCGGCCAATAAATAATCTGCGATCTAATCTTCGGAGAATCTTCTCCAAAAGACATAGGGAAGCTATGCCCCTTACAAAAAACTATATTTTATACGCTATTGGTGCATGTTGGTTGTCAACCTTTGTATATTCCGTCACCTCCCCGAAATGTGAACTTTTAACCAATGGCTAATAATATGGGAACTGGACTATCAAAATTGCGGTACATGCATGATGCGATCATGAGAAATTTGATCACAAATATTTGGGGTCTTTTTTAGCAGTGATGGTCCCTCTCAATATAGACCCCCCCCCAAATTGTACCAATGATCAAAGTCTGGGGTCTGATCTACATGAGTGACCCCTATATTAATCAACTTAAATTTGCTGCTGTAGTGAACGATTTTACTAATGTACTTGAAATAAAAACTACCAAGATATGTAGAGAAGGCTGCTGAGAAGATGCATATGCAAAAATCCTATTTTGTGCAACCAGACCATTTACCATCATTTTGATAGTTCAGTCCCCATATAGTATGCCTCAATCATTGTCATGCGCTTATCTAAGACAATTACTTTTTCTCTTTTGGGTAATAACATAATGAATATTATCGCATACAGTCAACTCTCTTCATAACGACCGTTTTTATATTGACCTATGCCTTATAACGACCACCTATTAAACTTAGCGACCATCATAGGATTTCGGGGTACAACGATCCGGTTGATATTAATTTCTATATATAGATACTTAATTTCTCCGCTTCTGGCCAGACACTAGAAAAATCGAGTGGCACTTAGAATCCATTATCTTTTATGATCGTTTATTACAATCTCCATCATGCAGTATGTTCTATCGTCATTGTTATTTTGGAACAGATAAATCCTAATGATTTACTCAGAATTCCATACTACATTAAGAGAGTTTTTTTTGAGCGTAATAAGAAGATTATATTCATGATATAGAATAGAGCTGCAAAAAATTTCCTCTCTACCCAAATCCACCTTTACGTCTTTTCACTGTCTTGTTAGATACATATGATGAATGAGTACTTTTCTAATAAATACAGAAATAGGAAAAGAAAAAGTTACATGCTAAAAATAGTAAAAGAATGTTATTGCTAGCATATGCATATAGTATATTCTTGGAATATCTAACTCCGCTGTTTATGACGACCGAAATGCTTTGCCCGAGGTGGTCGTTATAAAGAGAGTTAACTGTACTAAGGTGTTGGCCTAAACAAATTTCTTCAAAATCATATAGTTGCGAAATAATATAATGTGCTTTTTGAAGCTGATCGAAATGACAATATTTATGTTACACACATAAAAACGTGTAACATAAATATTGTCTATGTCTGTGCGCACTAGCGTTATTCCTGGCTAAAACATGATCAAATTTGTATGACAACCAATGAAATTGTCAAAAAAACTGCTCCGCTTTAGCCTACCTCCAACTTTAGTAACAGTTATTCGATCAACCTCTATCACGTGTAAACAAGGCTTCGGAATTTCTTTTCCGGTGACATATTGATATGTTTACTGCGACTGTTAGATACTGAAAAGCAAGCTATGGGAATGAAAGCAGCACTTTCTTTCCAAAGCGAAGATATTTCATACGACAAAAATGGCTTTCTATCACGGAACTATCTATGGACTGATCTATTTCGTTCCTGAATTAAACACGTCAAAGCCCGTTCCTTTGCAGGACGTTAACGTTGAGGCAAATGGTAATTACAAAAGAGAAAAGGCGTCAAAATGTTATTTTTCCTTTTAATGGTTTTCGACGTAGCTAACATGTAATTGATTCTGCAGTTGTTGACATGATTGCGGAAGGTAAGAAAAAAAAAATCTATCGGAATATTCTGTCAATTAAAAATTCACGGTATACTTATCGGTTGTTCCTTGCTTGCAATCCATTCTCAAAGTCACCATAACTCAAACTTACAAGAATGAGGAATCAATGACGATTGAAGCAATCTACAAATTTCCTATTCATGAAGCCGCGGCAATCTGCGAATTTGAGGCTGAAATCGACGGTAATCGCACAGTCAAGGGTATCGCCAAAGAAGCCCAGCAGGCTGCTAAAGAGTACGATGCAGCTGTTCAGGTTTGCATCGATGGATAGATTACGGACTGTCCAAGTTGTTACTGTGCGTTAATTAGTTTAATTTATTGAGACTACTTTTTTTATAAGAGAGGTCATGGCGCGTACCTTCTTGAACAAGAACTTGCCGACGTTTTCCAATGCACAATTGGCAACATTACGCCAAATCAGACTGTCAAAATTCGCATAACTTATGTAACCGAACTTAAACAAGATTCTGATTCCGACCAAGTTCGCTTTGTCCTGCCTACCGCTGTTGCACCTCGCTACGGTGAGCCGCAGAAGGACCCGTCGTCTCAAACGGCGACCAAGCTGCTCAAGGGTAATCCGACATATTCGAGCGAAACACAGTATACGTTGGGCATGAATGTTACGTGTCGCATGACGGCCAGTTTGTTGAGTGTCGAGTCGCCCACGCACAAGATTAAAACTGAGATTAATTTGAATGGAGATCCAAAGATTTGCAGAGTTGGCCTTGCAGAAGATAGAACCCACTTGGAAAAGGACTTTGTACTCATCATCAAGAGTAAGGATTTGGACCAATCTAGGTAGGGATCAAATCTTGATGGAAATGGGCAGGGACTAAAGATCTCGGTGATGGTTTGTCAAAATTGATATATGTATATTCTTTCTATAGAGCGTTCACAGAATATGATCCAAAGACCAATACAAATTGTACCATGTTGACTCTTGTCCCCACGTTTGAACTTCAGCCGATGCAGACGGAAATGATTTTTGTTGTGGACAGGTAAATTATTCGGGTACATTTTCATGTTCTTTTGCGTACTCGCATACAATATTGACTTTTATTTGTTCAGATCCGGTTCGATGAGTGACGGCCCGATAAAGAAAGCTCGACAGACGCTCGAACTAATACTTCGATCTCTGCCATCAAACTCTTTCTTCAATGTGGTCTCGTTTGGCTCGTCTCACTCCGCCTTGTTTGAAACATCTGTTCCCTACTCAGAGACTTCTTATAACACCGCCATTCAACTTGCCCAGACAATGGAAGCTGACTTTGGTGGTACTGAACTCTTATCGGTTCTAAAATGGGTTTTGGAAAACAAGAGTAAAGAACTGCCGACTGCCGTGTTTTTATTAACTGACGGTGAAGTCTGGAACGTGGATGAGATTGTTCAATTGATTGAGAATAAGGTGAAGGAAGATAAAGATAATTTGCGATTATTTTCATTGGGCATTGGAAGCTCTGTCAGTCATCATTTAGTAGAATCTGTTGCGAGAGCTGGAAGGGGATACGCCCAGTTTGTCAGCGATGATGAGAGAATGGACAAAAAGGTTGCGGGAATGGTAAAGAACGCTATTCGACCGCCACTGACTGATTATAAAGTTTCCTGGGTTGACACTGAGAGTAACGATTCGGATATTGTAAAGTATCGTCAAGCACCATACGTAATTCCACCATTATATCAAGATGTCCGCTGTATTGTGTACGCGCTTTTTGCACCAGGCTTTGAACCTGCACGGAGTGTTACTATTACAATGAAATCTCGCAGTGGGCCTGTAGAAGTTACCGTGCCAATTGATCCAGTTATTCTTGATGGAAGAAAGATCCATACTCTAGCCGCTAGGAAATTAATACAAGATCTTGAAGATAAGAGAAGTTATCTGCATAACGATCCGAAAAATGATGGGGGAAAAGTATCAGCTGAAGATACAAAAAATGCAATTCTCAAGCTTGCGATCGATGCTAATTTGGCCTCAAAATATACAAGGTAAGTATCTGAACGACAAAAAAAAAATTTGTTGCAGGGGAAAAGTGCTCAGCATAATGTATAATAACTGCCATCTGTTTAAGTTTCCTGGCAATCGATGAACGTGATCAAACAGCCTCAACAGCTGAAGTTCAAAAACGCCTTGTTCCTGTGCAGGGAAGACCTCAGGTTTAGTAAAGTTATTTAATTCTCGGAAAGAAAAGGACGCTTGCTTTTTCCAAACGATATCTGGCAACAAGCGTTCGCTAACGAATTTTTTCTTCCAGACTGTGCACCGCTTGACTTGTACGGGAGCACCCCGGATACAAGGTATTTTTACGGGATCACCCCAGGCACAAGGTATTTTTGCGCGTTTTGGGCTCCTTTTAGTGGTCACATAATGAATTCTCGTCGCTCATTATTTAAAAATTCGTTTACTCCAATAGATGATGGCTCAATACGCAACTTTTGCTTTCGTGGTGGTTCCGACGCGTATGAATTGGAAGACGACACGTATGAATTGGAAGATGGAGAGGAAGAGTCAGATGAAGATATGGCTTTTGGCCTCTGCGATGCTCCTGTCGGTTCAAGCGCATTTGACTATGAGGAAGTATCATTTGCTTGTGAATCAGTCATCCCCGAACGCAAAAAAGAAGAGGCGGATAAATCGGTTGGATTTGATCCGAAATTGGCAGATATTGAAACTCTTTATGGATTTATCCGATTTCAGTCCTTTGATGGATTTTTCAAGCCAATTACAGAATTATCGGAATACTTTTCACAGGGAAAAGACAAGAATTTATTCCAAAACAAGGATCAAGACCCTGTCTGGTCTACTTGTATTGCGTTGGCTTATCTTGAAATTGTAATGAAAGATTTCAAGCAAGAATGGGAGTTGTGTTATGAAAAGGCTCAGACAGCATTGAATGGGTTGAGTGGGTATGATTCGAGTGTTATCGAAAAGATGATGCAAGATGCTAGAAAGTGGGTTACCGAGTGGTATGCTTAATCACTGAATTGGATATGGTCGCCCTGTAAAAATTAAATCTGAGAGTGAGATTGATGCCACAGCAATTCTCGAATATTTAAATTACATGGTTTAGAAGTTCAGAATGAGTGGGAAGCAATTAGTTATTTTGTACTATTTATGATTATGCAATAATTCTTACGATATTCGGCATTGTTGTCATTACGTACAGCTTAGTCGAAGACGCAATGATTAGTTTGTCTTTGCTCTTTGTTATTACAAATTGACTTGACATCTTGCTACCGTCGACGGTTTATTATTCTAATAAAACACGAATGCGTAAGTGTTAATGCTAATATGGTCTCGAAGTAATAACCTCTTTGAAGTCGGTAACATAAATTTACATATTAACAGAAGAATAAACGCAATATGCAAATTATTTCTGTCGCTTCCCTATTGTGTTTCAGGAAAAATTGCAGTGAACCGAGCCATTGCACATTGTAACGTTTATAATCGTAAATCCATGGAAGTCTCATTTTTGTCGTCTAGGGTTCTGATATCGTTAATAGTTGAGAAATTCAGACAGCCCAATCTTAAGATTGGATCACCTGAGCGATCATTGTCTCCGGGTCACAGTTTGTGTAGCAAGAATTGTGTTTAGCGAAAAAAAAAATTAGTAATACAGTATAACTTAATACAGTTTACACTCACCGCTACAGCCATTTCGTTTGGGGTGCATGCATGCAATATGTACTGTAAATCAGGGGTCTACGATGTCTACAATTACAACGAAGTGATCATATTGTCTTGTTGGAATATTTTCTGCACCTTAGCGTTCAATCGAACGCAAAACTCTTGTCGGAATATTTTCTCTCGACACAAATCCGATTCGAGGGGCTTACGCATTTCGATGTAATCTGGTCATGCCCAGCATTTTTTGCTTGTGAATCTCCGGATTCTACCGCTCCATTCGGTAAATAAGAACTATTTTATTGGAGCATTCTGTTGTATTATTCTTTCCCGAAATACCAACGAAATTGCGACATGTGATGGTGCATGCATTAATGGTCTGTACGCGGGGATAATGGGTCAACTTATAACATAATAATTCCTAGCCCATTATTAATACAGTTTCAAAATACCGGATTAATACACAATGTTATTATTATGCTTATTCTTTTCAGTTTAGTCTAAATCTACCACTATCGATAGTGAACAACCCGATTTCTTTATCGGCTTTTATTGACAATGACAATACAGCTGATTAAACAATCTCTCTCTATATAGAAAACCCTCTCGTCAACCACGAATACAGTACGAGTCTGAATAGTACCATTATTTTGATTGAACATTATGTCTTATCTTATTCAATTTGATTATCCGTAATTATAATCACGTATGAGTGAATAGCCCCTAAAAGTCATAAGAATTACATGCATCATGTTCCACCAACTAGTCATTTGCGTCTATTACTCTGCTTCCGATTGAAATGTCGTGCGCCTGCTGAGTAGAATAAAACAGTTTATCCAAAACTCAATAGCTCGTTAGTTGCTCTCTCGAAAGTTGGACTATGCTCATCAACAATGTGAATACTTGCAATTGTATGAATGATGCAGGTAATAGATATATTGTAAATGCATGACGATTAATCCCTGCTCGATTTTATTTTTGGAATCTCTGCGCATCAAAAATAAAAAGGGAATGCTGCTTATAGGAAGTGGTATGACTTTTGTCACTGACGCATCTGAGTATTGACCCGGCTCTCCCCTTGTTATGACGTCAATTCGCTGCTTTTCCCGCCATATCATCATAGTCCGAGATGGCTTGAAACAAAATAAGCTGCATGAAATATAAATAGGTATGCAAAGGTATGTAGCTTCTTAATTCGATTAGCGTATCACTGAACGTTTATGATACTATATATGGGTAAACGGGACAATAATTGTTGACTTTGAGTAAGGTTAGAGAAATAGAAAGCAGCAAGAAATGTAATAAGATCTAAACTGTTTTATTTGTTCACTGCTCAATTGAAGAATAGCACGTAATAAAAATTTGCTAAAGATAAGAGTCCGCTTTAACGAAAGTCAAGCACAAGTGTAGCGCTTTGTTAAACTGACTTTACTATGGACTATTTAAGTTTGGTAATGATTTCCATGTTAAGTTAATAAACATGCTCGTACTCCTACATAATTTAGAACTTTTCTGGCCTGTCTATATTGTGTTATATAATACAATGGAAACATCAAAGACAATTGTCAGAGTCCGGATATTGTTTTTGTTACAATTTAACAATAACCATGCATATTCGGAACAAACTCCTTGTAAAAAAAAGTAGAACGGCAAACATTAATTATTTCGCTATATTTGGTATGGCAATTAGCTATTTGGGACAATGTGTGTGATATTGGAGATTGTGTGATGCGTTAGCTCTTGTAAACGTCATTTAAATCGAACAGTCCAGGCGGGCTTGCCAGTCAAATATGCAAGTTGCGCGAGCAAACAAACGCTACATTTTAATTGAACTAATCTTTTGTTTCAATTTAAATTATTCTGTAAAGGACAATTGCATTTAAAAATATGCGTTTAAATAAGAGTACTATACTAATATTATTATTATCTTAAATATAAAATAAAAACTGTGCGTATTAAATACTGCACAAACACATAATTGATAAAATAACCCAATATGGTACCTCAGTATTTTAAACAAAGCACATCGGCCGAACCAATAAATAAAAGAAAACCCTTTCTGCGGTAGTTTGGTAATAATTTATAAATGCCAACTTGTAGCTGCTTTCATCAACTTATCATAGTCTTTCTGGCTTATTGTTTGGATAACAATCTAACAAAAGTCCGACGATTAGTTTAAGTTTTTCTGGTCTTTTTAACCGAAGATTTATATAGTTATTATTTCTTCTTCTTTTCCTCTTTCCCAAATTTAATTCCGGATGTGGTTATAAAAATCATCCTGACAAATACTTTTCTAATTTTTTGCTAAATATCTAATTCGATCAGTAAAACATTAAATTTTTGTTCGGTGAGTTCTACGAATATTCTCCCAGTCAAGATGCCAAGCAGCGCGGATACCCTTACCCCTTATGAACATAATCTCTTATTTAATCCGCCTTACATACTCAACATTACCCTCGACTGTCTTATCGATCCAAGACGTAGACAAAGCAATGGCCAAGATTCAAAACCCCCCCGACCATCAAATTCTTGGATTCTTTTTCGTACAAATTTTGCGAGCGGATTACAATCTCAGGATTCTAACTGTGTTCAACACGTCTCCAAGATGGCTTCTAAAGATTGGAAAAATCAGCCGATGGTAGTCAAACAATACTTCAACGCTCTTGCTAAATTGGCTCGGCAATGGCATAAAGAAGCTTATCCTGGCTACACTTTCAGGCCGAGAAGGCAAAAACAAAACAAAGAAAAGAATTGGTCCTTTATCGAGGTGAACAAAGATAGATTTATAGAACGTAATGAGAAAAAGCAAAAAGGAAGAAAGATAAAGACCGGCGACCATTTGGATAACTCTGCACAATTGAACAATGGTGAACAAACCCAAACTTTAGGTGGATGTGAACAGCATCCGGCTTTGGGTGAATCCGCTCCGCTGAATGAATCCGTTAATTTGATCGAATCTGAACCAATTGATTACGGTCATCCGATGCTGAATGGATATAAAGTCACTGAAATATCGGACGATTATGAAATAATTCCATATACATATATTGAAGAGCAACAGCAGCACGACTCACTGCATATCGCATGGTAGATAACGGCGACTCGTGTTCAATGTACGTTAATAGTAATCGATCATTTTGCTAAATATTTTTTCGACGCAACCTCGTTTAAAGTCGTTGCTTTGTATAGCCATCTGGTTATTTTACGCAAATTCGTTTATTTAATCACACAAGTTTTTCGTCGTATACTATGCTTCAAATGGGGGCAATCATTTCACCGACAATTATTTCACCAACATTATTTCGAAGTTATCCTTTCTCGGTAGTTGATTGTCGGTAAAAATATGTTATAAGATGTAGCTTAGATAACGTTGTCGTTCGATTTCGCATTTTCGTAGTAAATTAAGATATGGAATAGATATGTTGACATTTCATCATAAGATAAGATATAGCGTCGTCGTCGATTTTACATTTTCGTAGTAATTAAGATATTTCGTCATAAGATTAGATAAAATGTATACTATAGATCGTGATATACAAATAATAGGATATACAATAAATTAACATATATGTTGGAAGGAACAAACACTGTGGGGATACATTATAATGCAGAAGTTACCGGGTGGGGACAAATAGGTACCAATTTTCGTTTTTAAAAATAACAAAATACACGTAGCGGATGATAATATGCTACAACCTGGATTGCCGTAACCCCGAAATCGTGCTGGAACATTATATTTATTATCTTTAAATTTAAACATATGGGGTGGTCATTTACCTAGAGATGTATTTGTTCCACTGGGTCCGGTTCATTTCATCGACAATCATTTCTTACGTTTCACCGACATAAATTTCATCGAAAACCAATGATAAGTGCGATAAACAATGTGTCACGTGAAATGACTGTCGGTGAAGTGTACTGTCGATGATTGTCGATGAAATAAATGCCTCCCGTTCCACAAGGTACTGTGATGCGTAGCAGCCTGATTTCTGCGTGACTCCGATGGTTTTACAGGATCTAGCCGATCGGAGCGTAGCACCAAAAGGATCGGCGATGTGGTACAGCTTGCGACTTGTCTCAGTTCTGGACCAAGATGACTGAGTTCTAGATTGAGAGTGAATATTGATGCCACAGCACTTCTCTAGCCAGAGAGCGAATATTTAAATTACATAGTTTAAAGTTCAGAGTGAACGGGAGGCAATTAGTTATTTTTGTAATATTTATGCTGCTGCTTTTAAGTGTCTATTTGACCTTGTTTCAACATGGTTTAGTTCCTGACATGGTCGGCATTGTTGTTATTACGTTCAGTTAGTCGAAGACGCAATGATTAGTTTGTCTTTGCTTTGTTATTACAAATTGACTCGACATCTTGTTAGTATTAGCGTTGACAGTTTATTATTCCAATAAAACACGAATGCGTAAGTGTTAATGCTAATATAGTCAAAGTAATAACCTCTTTGAAGTCAGTAACGCTCTGTTTACCAAGAATAAATTTACATATTAACAGAAGAATAAACGCAATGTGGGAATTATTTCTGTCGTATTTCTTCCCAGTGAACAGAGCCATCCTACATGTAGTATTATGCACGAGAAACTAAATTAGACAACTATTGAACCGAATAGACTTGACCTGCTTATTAGTTGAATCACTGATGATTTTCAAGTTTTCTTTCATGTTACTAATCGTAGTTTGTCCGTATCGAGTGGCGATGGTAAATCCATAAAAAAATTTTTGAAGTCGACGTAAAAGTTATCAACATTTCACACGGAAATTCCGTCAAGGAAGGATTTTTGACCATAACAACATGGGAGTAAGTCGAAAGTTTCCATTTGTTGTCTTGGATACTGAAATAACATTCGCTGGAATTTTGACATCCTTTGTAGTTGAGAAAGTCGACCGGTATCTTGATGAATTATCGTCTGGGATGAAAGCACGAACCGGGGAAAAAAGTCTCTACCAACGTTGTGGCCATTTTGGCACTTACAAATAAACAAGCAGAAAAATTTCACTGAAACTCTTTTATAGAGCCGCAATGGAAAGAAATAGTTGCTTCGTAGTTCTTCATTGCTATAAGATTGGAGAATCATATTTACCTGAGCAACTAATTTTCTTTGACGAGGCGTGAAGGATGAACGATCATTGTCTTCAGCTACGGCAAGGCGTTCACGATCACAAAAAAGTAGTCTCTTCGTTTCGCGGAACCTCTATACTTACTTTTCTCTAAGAAGTGGATTTGTGCATGGTTATCTTTAGTCTTCATTCTGACACTGTCTTGCCCAAGCTTTTCTTCAAGAGAATATGCTGCCTAAATAAATTCATAGCTTACCGCCGTCTAACGGCACTGGCCCTAATCCGATTGAAAATCTCTGGAGTATTGTTAAGATAATAATGGAAATGGGAGATTTATGTAATTTAGGGCGTACAGTTTGGGTGAACAAGAATGAAAGAGACAAAGAAAAAAAACCCTACATGTTTGTTGTTGATGATACGACAAAGTGCTCGCCCACATGGAGAACACAAGCGACGAAATAGGATGTGAAATGGAGAACATAAAAATATTTTCATGCAACTTTTTTTTTGCCCCCCACATAGTTTCTTTGTGAAATATACGTATTTGATTGGTCAATTGAATTTCAGTTTCCAAATTACATCATCGATCATGCAAAAAGCAAAGATTATCGCCGATTCGAGGGGCTTATTACGACTTCCAGGTAACAACAAGGAATTGCAAGTCATTCGCATGGCGCTCTTGCGCCGCATTGCATGCATGTAATGACTTTCGGTAAACTTCCGGTTCTTACCGCTCGCGCTTCTTTCGTATCACCCTTTCCCGAACACCCCTTATTTCATGAAGATGATAATCGGTCAAATAGGATGTCAAACTACCTTATTCAGCTATTATTCTTCGAACAAATGACAGTTTCCGACTAATTTGTATGTCTTACCTGATTAATACACAATGGATTAGTATTCTCTGAAATATTGACGAACAACCGATTCCTTATCGACTCCTATTGACAATGACTCTTCCAAGGAATGCACCCGCTATTTTTTGATTGAACATTATGTCTTTATCTTATTCAATTTGATAAGAGTAATTATCAGAAATTCTAATCACTTATAAGAATTACATGACATGATGTTCCCCCAACCAACCAATCAATTAGATGGTGAAGTCTGCTTCCGATTATGTACTGCTGCTAAGAGTAAAACAGTTTATCCAAAACTTGATAGAGGCTTGTTACTTGCTCTTTCGAAAGTTGGACTATGCTCGTCAACCATGCGAACACTTGCGATTGTATGTAATGTAGAAGCTAATTGAATAATGTCATATTATAATGCATAACATCTCAGCATTTATTTTTAGATACGGGCTTTCCCCTCCTCAGAACCGTTTTCACCGCACACGGCATCCGCAGTCCTGTTTAACTTGAAACAAATGGTTGCACCACGAAAAAAAAGATTTCTAAATTTGAATGACGATTTTGTGATACTATATATGGTTGAACATATGATGGAAACCGTGCAGACAAATCGAAACAATAATTACTAGATATAAAAGAATAAAGCAGCAAAGAATGTAATAAGATCTACAATATTCTATTTGTTAGAGTTTGCTAGAGATGGGAGTCTGCCTTAACGAAACAAAAGTCCGTATAGGTAGTGCGATTCGTTAAACTGGGTTTTCACTGTAGACTATTTAAATTATAAACATGTTCGTACTACTGGGACTGATATAATTTAGAACCTTTCTGGCCTATTCACAGCACAGTGGAAATTACATTGACAAAGATTGTTTGTACTTTGAGTAATCCAGAGGAATATCCTATTGCATAATGAATATTACATATTGTTACGATTCAACAAAAATGCGTTTAAACTTTTATCATTAATGTCCGGAAAGCATATAAATGCATATCAATAAAAGTATTTGTATTGAATCCTTGTTATCACTGCACGAAGCATGCACACGTCTTCATACATAAGCACAATTCAAAAAGTACGTCGGCCGAACAAAAAAAAAGGTATATAAAGAAGAAGAAACCTTTCTCCCTCTCCCAGTCAAAAAAGCTTCGACTGATGGCAAGCACCACAGATCGTCTTACTCCTCATGAGCACAATCTCTTGGAACATCCACCTTATACACTCTCCATTCCCCGAGACACTCTTATCGATCCGAGGCGTAGACAAAACAACGGCCAAGATTCAAAACCTCCCCGACCGTCTAATCGTTGGATTCTTTTTCGTACAAATTTTGCAAGCAGATTACGATCTCACCCTGAAATTTCATATAATATTCAAGACGTCTCTAGGATGGCTTCGAAAGAATGGCAAAATCAGCCGATTTTAGTCAAGCAGTACTTTAACACTCTTGCTAAATTGGCTCGGCAATGGCATAAAAAAGCTTATCCTGGCTACAATTACAAGCCAAAAAGGCCAAAGCAAAACAAAAAAAAGAATTGGTTGTTTAGAGAAGTAAATAAAGATAAATTTACAAAACGCGGGACTGATGAAAACAATGCCAATGAGAAAAAGCAAAAAGAAAGAAGGGCTGGCAATCAGTTGGATAACTCTGCGCAACTGAACGATAATGAACAACTCCAACCTTTAGACGAATGTGAACAGCTTCCGGCTTTGGATGAATTCCCTCAATTGAATGCATATGTTTATTCGATTGAATCTGAACCGGTTGATCCGATTCTGAATGGATATACACACGCTGACGTGGACGAATATGCTCCACCAAATGAGTACTTTGCATGTATTGATGGACAGCAACAGCAGCAGCACAACTCACTGTATGGGGTCAGCGAAAGCTTGTGGTATGGTGTAGTGGATAACGGATTCTACGGCGGCGTTTACTCTGATGGCGGGAATTTCGCTCGCTAAATATTTTTCTCACGCAAACTCGTTTGAAGACTTGTTACTCCATATGGATAGTCGGCTGGTTTGATAAACAGCGAAACAATTTAAGATACAGCTATAAACAACGCGACATTTTCATCATAAGAGCTTGTAAGATAATAATTCATTATAAGATAAAATGTAACTATATATAACGTGACATTATAAGGGCCAGTAAATTTAGATATAGAATATAGATGACGATGACATTTTCATCATAAGATTTGTAAGATAAAATGTATGCTAAAGATAACATCGTGGCTATACATAATAAAACTGTGGGGCAGCAGGTGGGAACAAATAGATTGTCAGAATGTCTTTACAAATAACGAAGTAGTAGTAGTGGATTATAATATGGTCCAAACGTAGGGATGACCAAAATCGTGCTGGAACATTATATTAGTTCGTCATATTTAACTATAATAGTAAACATATAAGATGGTTACGACAGTAGATAATGTGGATATGCCAACTATGCTAGCCAATAAAATTCGGATTACTAAACTAACAACATAAGTCCATCCAAGTATTAAACAGATTCTCATTTAAATTATCGTCGTTTTATCCACAAACTTTGGACTCATTACTTTCTATACTTGCTTCTCTGTACTGTATTTATAAAGAGAATCCAGTCTTTTTTTTTTGTTTGTTTCGTGAGTCAGCCATTTTTAATCTTTTATTCCATTCTTTGTGTAATATGATGATGGAAGCCTGAAGAAATCGGGGACTCTTCAAAGAATAATACAAGCATTTTTATATTAATTATTCAAAGTTTAAAAACATTATTTTGTCCTTGACAATGATGAAGTTTGACCGATTATATATTTGCTAGACGGAATTTGGAACGACGATCCTAAGGGTTTGTGCCACTACTATAATATATTACCACTACTACTACCAATAACCTTCCAAGAAATTTGTTAATCGGAAATTCTTAGTCTATCTTCCGTTCTTTTCACATCTTTAAAAGAACTGCCACTTAACACCATTCCATGTCTACTTTTCCGGAAACTTCTCTTACAGATGATCTCACTTCCGTTGAATGTAATCTCTTAATAAATCTACCACCACTTTATACGCTCAACTTTGATTTTCTTATCGATCCAAGACATGAGCGCAACCAAAACCAAGATTCAAGGCCTCCCCGGCCGCCTAATTCTTGGATCATTTTTCGTAGAATGTTCGAGAGCAGATTACAATCTCAACAATCTGACCCCTTTAGGATGGCTGGTGAAGATTGGAAGAGTCAGCCTAAATCGGCTTTGCAATGGCATAACAAAACTTATCCTGACAACAAGCCGGTAAGGAAGAAGAAGAACAACTGGTACTATAAGAGGTGAATAAAGAGAACGTAAATTGATGGAATGTACCGATAGAGAAAAGTGTCGGCTATCAGTTGGATAACTGAGCGAATATGAACAACTCCAAACATAATGCGTTCAACAGAACGATTATGAAAAACTTCAAACATGGACGAATATACACTAACGAGAACTGGACAAATATGCATTATTGGATAGATTTGCTTTATTGGATTACGTTGTTTAATTGAACAAATATAAGCAATTGAAAAATTGGTTGACTATAACGAATATAAACAACTTTCAGTTTCGGCTCTTGATTAAATATAGACTAGTTGTTATGTTCATTTGATTCGAAATGTAAACACGTATTCTCTATCGGGTAAACCCTTTACAATTTAACAAATATGATTAATTGGTTTGATATGATCAAAGGAATAAATATGCTTCATTGAAGATTATGAATTAATGAATATATTGATAAGCAGCACCACGAATCGTTGTCAAAGCTTGCACATTAATTGGTATGGCCAACAATTCTATCTATCGGTAACAGTACGTCAACTGCCGTTTCAGTATCTATTTTTCCAGCGCAAATTCATTTGGGGGACTTGGCATTTTATACTGTTAATCAGCTCGTTGTCAATTTTGAACAAATGCTTACTTGTTTATCTACTCTTTAATTACTTTTTCTCCTTCAATAGAGTCGGACAAACCTTTTTAATTTGGTTATAGCATCTTCTTTCTTACCAAGCCCATCGTAGTTAAATCCAACTTTTTACATCATGAGATCTAATAATTTATGATAAAGACTTAAGTGTAATAGACAGTGAAGCGATGACTGTCAACTGCAACTGTTATATTTTTCTAAATATCAATTTACTCGAAATGTTGTTGACTGTTAAAATGTCTAAAATTATCCAGATTTGGAGATAATTTTAGCATATCGTTAAATCGATTGCTTTTTAACCTATTGCACTACTCAAAACAATACGTGTCCCTTTTCCCAAATAAGCAATAAATATATATCACATACATGCATGCAAAAACTAAGAATATTAATAAGATTCGAACTGTTCTATTAGAGAATGATTGGTTGACATTCTCGGATGCTCTCATTTCCTGGTAACAGAAAATCGGTCACGGGCGGGGATTTCAGCAGCCGATTTCAGCATCAGCCGTCACAATAAATTATAAGTTATAGAATAAAGTTGTAGTAGAAACAATAATATGATTAGCACGATTAACGTTTGTGGTATCTATCTCTCCTACGTTGGGAGCACGCGGTGGCGCTCATGGGCTCTAGAGATTCATCGTCCAGTCCATTGCTAATTTTGGCATCATTGTCAAATTTAATGACGCAACACATGTGTGATATTGTAATAGCACTTCTCAGTCCATTTTCCGTATTTTATACAACTTCACACCCACCTTTTTGAAAGAACCGTCACTGGCATCATTATGACTACTTCTCTAGAAGCTTATCTATCTGCGTTTGCAGATATACTTACTTCTGATGAACGCAATCTCTTACTTAATCCACCTTATGTGCTCGACGTTCCCCTTGATTCTCTTATCGAGCCAATGCGTAGACGAAACCAAACCCGATATTCAAGGCCTCCCCGGCCGGCTAATAGTTGGGTTCTTTTTTGCAAAAATTTCAATCGCAGATTACGATCTCAATACCCTGAACAGTCATACATGCTTGCTGCCGTCACTAGGATGGCTATGAACGATTGGAATAATCAGCCGATTGTAGTCAGACAGTATTTTGACCTCCTTTCCAGATTGGCTATGCAGCGGCATAGGGAAGTTTATCCTCTATTGGCGCAAACGATACCATCAGCTTAACGAAATGCACAACTCCAAACATTGGACAAATATGCTCTATTAAGTGACTGCGTTCAGCAGAACGACTATGAAAAACTCTAAGCTTTATTGGATGACTTTGTTCAAGTGAACAAATGTAAGCCAATTGAACAATCAACAGATCGAATATAGACCGGTTAAATACGGTCATTCAATTGAACACGTTGAAGTATATGCTTTATCGGTAAATCTCTTTAATTCAACGCATACGATTAATTAGTTGGATATGGTCAACGGGACGATATGCTCCATCGGCTAAATATATTTCAGTATTTGTTGACGAACGACAACACGACTCATTGGCGAGGGTAGTGGTTCACATTACATTAATGAGTATAGAGTTCAGTCTAATGAACAGTTCCATGAGCAGCTGGGGTAACTAATATTAATGATGTATTTAGTTTTACTCGTTTTCTATGCAGTAACAAGGACTTTGCACATTTTGTTACAAACAGTTAGTCAGCTTGTTATAAATTTCGAATAAATGCCTACTCATTCATCTACTTATTTAATTGTATAAGCTCTCGTTTTTACTCTTTCTCTCTTTAAGGCAATCGGACAAATCTTTTTAAATTTGTTCATAGAGATCAAGCTCATTGTGGTAAAATTCATTTTTCTTTTACCATTTCATCATGGAACTTACTGCAGTAAGTTGACCATTTCAGCGACCGACCACTTCTTTAACCGAGTTGGCTAAGTTATTAAATGAAGTTAGCAGACTTCAGTCTGGAAACTAGTGAAACAATAAGTTACTATCCAAATACAATAACGGGGTCTTCGGATTGGCGGGGTAGTCACATAAACCGAAGATTATATGATGCAGGGCATACAGTTAAAGTGTAATATAATAGTAATAGACAGTAAAGCGACGACAATTTTGGTAATGGGGAGAGAGAAAGAGAGAGACGCTCCTTTAACCGAGTTGGCTAATCCTAACCCTAACCCTCCTCTCATAACATTCGTGTATTATAAACGAACAAACAAATGTGCCGCAATAATTTGCAGTATTTTTTTTTCGAAAAAATAATGAAATTATATTCAACTTTGAGTCAACTGCAACTGCTATATTTTTCTAAATATAAATTCCTCGAAAGTGTTCTTGACTTTAAAAATTAGCAATAATTTTAACGTACACGTTGCCTATGTTGTCCCACCTCGACTCAACTGTCATTAAAAGTTTATTTTTGGACATCACATGCATGTATGCATGCAAAACTAACAAAGAATGTTAAATAGATCCGAACTGTTCTATAGAGAATGATATCACATATTTGTTATTCTAAATTCTAGGGTGCTCTCATTCCTATTCCTGATAGATTTGGTGAGTGAGCAAGTTGAGGTAAGGTAGGTGCTCATTTGCTCTTGTCAAAGTGAAAAGGATTTCTTAAAATTATAAATAGCACGATTACTGTCTCCCCTACGTTGGATCGGCTCGTTACTCCTAACAGATTTGGTGCTTGGGATGATGGCTATTGCTTCTATTGCATAAACGTGTGTTCTGAAACTGCACGAGTCAATGCTCACGGCATACATGTTTCACTTTCGCCCCTCCAGAACGGTAAGATGCTCCATCACTAAACCAATATAGTAGCCCTTACAATGATTTTGCTAATTTGACAACATCCATTGTCAAATGTAATGGTGGAGGTGGCTGATGAGAGCACCCCTCTAGTTTCACATGTGTAGTAATTGTAATACCACATACACGACGAGAACAAAGACATTAGCTAAGTAGTTCGAAAGATGCTATATTTTGGTAAGACAAGTTATTTTGCATGTGACAGCATTTCAGTCGACATATAAATTCATCGACCTATTACGGCAATGCTCAACAATGTTAAGCGTTAGATGCATTACTGGTATGTTAACTATTGTATGCACGTACAAATATGTAACATTTCACTTTAACTGCCACAATAAATATATCAGCGAGAAATGGAATGGTGTTATCACTACTAATTATACTGTATATTTCACAAACGTCATTTTACGAGTTCATGAATCGACCAGTCTATGTGAGGCAAACTTAATAATAAGAGAGCCACTAAAACATTATCAATTGAAACCTCTTCTTTATTTTCTCCATGATGTAAACTCAGTGAATTGTTTTTTTCGATAATAGAACCCTTAATAATTTGTGCAGCCTGACATATGCACAAATTACGATTAGATTTTTATCACGTTCACATGTATAAAATGCGAGTGTTCAGTTTACGCTAATACTATCTTTATGTTAATATGTATAAATAAATTCTATCACGTTCTACCTACATAAAGAACAACCCAATATAGCATCCCATTCCCATTGTTTCCAAATTCAATCAAACAAAGTAAGCAGAGGTGCTGGAGTGTTAATAATGGTTTCTATAAATCTATTGTGTGAATGAATGAAATATCATCGGGGGTAAATGCGGCCGAAAAAATATCTTTGTTACAGGGTAACTGCAACTGAAAAGACATATACGCCCAAACTTCTTCTGCAGGGAGGGGGGAGAGAGAAAGAACTGCAAAGAAAAAGTGTAGAATTATAAAAAGAACCCTCCCCTTCTAACAAAAGACACCCATTCAAACAGCTAAAATTTTTACGTCGCTCTATTTTCTATTGCAATGCCTACTTTTCCAACTTCTCTACTTAATTCTACAAATACCCTTACTTCTCATGAACGTAATCTTGTATTTAATCCACCTTATACGCTCAACATTCCCCTTGACTCTCTTATTAATCCAAGACGTAGGCGAAACAAAAACCAATATTCAAGGCCTCCCCGCCCGTCTAATCCTTGGATTTTTTTCCGTACAAATTTCGCGAGCAGATTGCGATCTCAAAACTCTGGAAATTCATACAGTATTCAAGACGTCTCTAGGATAGCTGGTGAAGATTGGAAAAGTCAGCCAATTGTAGTCAAACAGTACTTCGACGCCTTGTCCAAATTGGCTCTAGAACGGCATAAAGAAACCTATTCTGGCTACATTTACAGGCCAAAAAGAGCGAAGCAAAACAAAAGAAAAAATTGGTTGTTTAGAGAAGTAGATAAAGCCAAATTTATAGAACGTTCGATTGATGAAAACAATGTCACCAAGAAAAAGCAAGAAAGAAGGGCCAATGTTCAATTGGATAACTCTGTTCAAATGAACGAAGATGAACAACAAAGTAACTGTCTTGAACAAAACAAAAATGAACAGCTTCAACCGTATGCTCTTTTGAGTGATTTTGTTCAACAAAACAAATACGAAAAGTTTCAAGCATCAGAGGAATATGCTCTATTGGATGGCTTTGTTCAACTGACTGAATGTAGGCCCATCGACGAATCAGGTCAACTGAACGAATACAAACAACTTCCAGACGAATACACTCTCTTGGATCACCAGATTGAATACGATCAACTGAATGGATATAAACACGTTGAAGTATCGACCCTATTGGGTGAATCTCTTCAATTAAATGAATACGACCAATTTGTTGGATACGGTCAAAGAAACGAATATGCTCCATTAAATGAGTATTATGAACTAGTTTCATATATTGACGGGCAGATCAGTGAAAGTTTGCTCATTAATGAATTGATATACTATGACGTTCACTCCAATACATTTCTATAAGCAGTCAATGCCATAACTCATATCAACGATATATAATGATATGTTAGCCGCTCATTTTGCCGACTGTTTTTCCGAAGGTATCGACGCAAACTGAACCTGCCATTTCATACGAGGGACAGCAACAGTCGGCTGGTTAACGAATGCTTGCTCGTTCACTCACTCCTTTGTTTAATCACATAAGTTCTCCTTCCTGTCCTTTCTTTCTTCAATAACAAACTGACAAGCAATTCTTTATTCTTACATCAAGCCATTGTGCACCAAATTCGTTGACATTTTATCATAAGATATACTATGGATAACATCGCCGCCGTTAACATTTTCATCATAAGGACTAGTAAGTTAAGATGTAGACTATAAATCAACGTTGTTAATATTTTATCATTGTAAATTAAGATATAAACTATATATAACATTGTTTTCATAAGTTAAGATGTAGAGATAGATAGCTATGTGACATTTTTATTATAAGATTTAATAAGATGTAGACTATAAATCAGGCTATACAGTAAAATTAATATGTACAGTATATTGGGAACGTAGATTGTCAGAAGGTTGAGACATACAAAATTTTTACAAATACCGTACGTTACATTTCGAACATTATCGCAAACGTAGGGTCGTGCTATGTCATGTACAAAAAGTCACAAAATTTTACGAATCATACCACAAATTTAGTAACATAACTGTATTTTACGCATTAATTAAACTTGTTTGAGTATGGTTTTACACATATTTCGTACACTTTACAAATTTTTCCAACTCACTAAAAAAAGATTGTCCTGGAACTTTAATCGTCAAAAGCGCAAAATCAACATTGTTAACAGATATACATAAGTACAAAGTTTTATAAAATTTCGTTAAAAAATGGCTGCAAATGGAGGGTATACTAACTATCGACATTTACTTTAAGTAAATAAAATTTCTTTAAATATAAAAGTGTGCAATACTTTTGTCCCCCCGTACAAGAGTATGTTGCATTGTACTTTTATTCTTTCAAAGCTTATAATTAATTTGCTTCATAAGCCCCGATAGTATTTTTTAGAAAGGCTTACTAATCGCTGAATAGCAAAGCTCATCTGCCTTCGGGCGTTGAATTCATTAACGGTTAGTATGTGTCGATTATTAAACGCTACCGTATACAAAGTCACGTAATTATTGGTGACTAGGAAGGAAATATCAAAGGTACCGAAGCGACTGCTTGTGCCTTTGTATAGTAACAGCTAATTCAACGTATCTTTATAAGAAAGTTATTTCTTACTTTTACTGCATTGGATTTTGAAATCACAGGCAGTTGCATCTACGATCAACGGTGAAAACTTCCGAAATTGTATGCATATGACGCCAATCTTGTGATGTTTCCCTTCGAAAAAATTTTTTGATCTTGACATGCAGGGATGTGCATCAATAAATACTGAAATAGAAATATATTAATCGTATATATACCCGTCAAAATAGAGATGCTCTCTAAAATTTTCTTACAGTAACGTGCAAAAGTATCCTACCGGTTGTATCATCTAAACGTACATAATAATAACTCCTTAAATTTTCCA